CAGCCTATTGTTTTTATATTAACAAGTATTTATTCTTCACAGACTTCCGAGTAGAGGAAATAGGTGTGTTGAGTGTCTCTCAGAGGTTAAGGACCCTTATGTTCATTATCCTTTATCGCTGAGGTGCAATATTTGCAAGTTCAGATCAAGTTGCCAGAAAGCCTTCAGACAGCATATGGTCAGGTAAGGGGAAAACGTGGATGAATGAACGGTTCCAAATGAATGTAATCAGATCTCTACATAGTGTTCTTTTCATCTGCAGGTTTCACAGCAGTCCTTCAAAAGTACGGTTTGGGAAAGTGAGGAAGCCTCCACGCGGTTTGCGGTAAGTTTGGCTCTAGTATGTGACCGTTTACTGTGATAGAGGGGTTTATTTGAGTTAGACTTGCAGAAAATTATTATTATAATTTTTTTTCCCAAGGAGTCTAACACTGGTGTGTCTCAAGTGTGACTTTCTGGCAGATGCCTCTGGTGCTGACCAGATGACTGAACATTTGCTCAACAGGCCGAACCACTCGTGCCAGGTCATCCTGGAGCCAGGTATGATGCTCGACTGTCAACTCCCTGCAAAAATATTTAGTTACTCTTTGCGATGTCACATTTTCTTACTTGCATACCTTTTTTTCTTTAAAGTTACCAATGGAGGATCAGAAATGAACAGGTATGAAAGTTGTTTGGATCATTGTTAGCTATTTATTAGTTTCAATTCGTTTTCAATTGTTTATTGCATGCAATTAAGTTGTATAAAAGGTTAGGGTTTTCTCGCCATTTAAAAATCCCATTGTTGTTTATCGTTAAAGCCGTTTTAAAAAGTTGGTGGTGTTAATCTCTGTGTTCTGCTATGCTCTCATTGTTAAATACATGATGTATTGGTGTACAATGACACCATATGCTTATTTGTATTTTTGTTAAATGTAGAGGTTAGAGCTGTGAAAAGAGGAGAGTAAAAATAGACTGGGAAGTGTAGCTTACCTGATTGAGACAAATTACCTTTTCTGATGAAACAGGGGTGTGAATACAGACCCCCTGACCTATGAATTGTTTGGAAATATCATTTATTATAAAAAATGATCTCTATTTTTTTCATTAGTCTAATTGGGATGCCTATTAAGTGGTATTCGGGAGACCTTGCTTGAATTAAAACAGGAGTTTTTGCATTAATTAAAGCTGAAGAACACATTCTTATTAATGTGGACCACAAAGAAAAGCTCATGTGAAAGGCAAGTAATACAATATTTGTATTACTTCAGTTGAGTGTCAGGGTGAATTTAATGAAAGTTTGAGAATCAAAAATTTAATTACTTTGCTTGCCTCCATTTCTCATTAATACAAAAAAATAAAAATCTTACTCTCGTTCCTGTAATGAAAAGAAATAAAGTGTGTATGATGATGGTGTATAGTAATGTTGTAATGCCTTTAATTCAATGATTTATTTAAATAAGCATCAATTAAAGTGCACTGAGACTCAACATTGAGAAGAATAGGAATTACATAAAACCTCCAAACACATTGCAGTAATGAAAACATCTATAATTGTCATGAAGCCATAAAATCTCGCGAATGATCATAAAGCATTCATTGTATAAATACAAAAAAAAAAAATTCTGACTTTTGAGGTGAAATATGACCTTTTATGGCATTTTTGTGACCCTCTTTATTGTAAGTAAAAATCTGATAGTAACCTTGTGTATCAGTCTGGTGATATTACAGCTTATAATCTTAATATGGAGCATTGTGTGTCACTCTGTTCATGTGTCTTTGCTTTTCTCTTGTTGTTGCACCTCATAATTCAGGTCACCAGAGACCCATGATGACTCCAAACAACTCATTCCCATTAAACTGGATACTGAGGCTAGAGATGAGACAGAACCCATTCAGATCATTGATGTAGAAGCTATACCAAACAAGGACAACATAACGGAGGATGGGTCAGAGGTTCTTGGAGCTGAAAAATGTGACCCAGACGAGGTGAAGGATGACACAGCGGAGGCCGCAACCAATGATGTGTCAGTAGAGGAATCACCCAAGAGCCTTCCCTCTCACTCACCCGTCAGCCCCCTTTCTGCCCTCACAGAGGAAGGTGGCGTAACTCCCACTGATTTTCTTTGTAAAACTGATGGAACGGAGTCGATGAGAACAGACTCGCAACTGGAACCTCTCACTCCATCCAAGGTCCTTGAGGACGACGCCACCGAGAACGCACAAGTGGGGATGGACGGTTAACTGCAACCCAGTGCAAACAGAACCGAGGATCTCTTAAAGCATCGCAAGACACTAGAAGCAGCAGAGTTTCTCGCTGACTCACTCTCCCCCCCTATTTTTAATAAAACATGCATTAATAGGAACTCGCTTTCCGAATACAAAATGAAATGAAAGCATACTGTGCTAAAACATGACTTTAAAATCTTATACTATACGAGTACATTATTTCTGCACTTGTGTAAGGTTTGTAAAGAAGCGCCCTCTAGGTTAAAATTGGGTTGCAAAGGTAGCAATGTGAATGTTCTTCTATACATATGATTGTTTTGAAGTCCTTCTGTCCACATTTGTGGTGTCTGTTTAGACTCTACTGATGATCACAAAACAGAGACACAACGGTAACCAACATGGAGCTGATTCCCACATCTGCCTTTTCAAGTGGTGGTTTTCATAGGACAAAGAACAAGCTCAGCAGTTTCTTAGTGTAATGTATTTAGGAATGAAAAAATTTGTCCTGATATATATATTTTTTAGATTGTGTTTAATGTATTGTTAAATGTACTTCGTCTGGATAGGGCCCTGCATTGAGAATCATTTCTCTTATTGATTGAGACTGAAAGCATTGTAGAAATTCCATTCATTTGTCTTAATCAGTAATAAACTTTTATTACATATTCACCAGAGTTCTGTTATTAAATAGAGACGCTGATTCGCAAATATCTCAGCCTTTGTCCAGGAGACAATTTCATGTTTTCTCTTTAGGGTTTGATTTGGTGAAGAGCACCCTCTTGTGGTATCATTCTGTGTAGTTCAATAAGCAATAGTGATGGGCAGACTTTTATGTGAATAGGTTCTTTTGAACAGTTATTTTCAAAGAACAGGTAAACAAAAAGATTCAGTGATTCTCATCTTACCAGGTGCTCACTGTCGTCTTGGTGTGGCATATTAGAGATTTCTGAACCTTTCTTTTATGTCTCTGGAAAGTATTTGTATACGTAAAGAAATAGTTAACTCAAACGTTTTTTTGTTTTTTTTTAAACCAGTGTATGAATTTCTTTGCTGAGAAATGAGCCGATGGCTTCTCTGCAACTTGTCAGTTTTCCACCGTTTTTATTTTTATTTTATTTTTTTTGTGGAGGCAGTTGACAAACATGTAGTCCTGTTGAAGAAACACGCTTAATCATGTAATGCTGGGCAGGTTTAATGAGTGCTTCTTGGAATAAATCTATAGATTAGACTTCTTAGACTATAGATTTTCAAATAGAGGAGAAAACGGTAGCATAGTTGAAGGCAATGTTTCATTTTGTAATTAATCTGAAAATAAGTAAAAATGAGAGATAGAAAGGACTTACAGTAGATTCTGTGCTTCATGGGCACAGCCTCTTACTCTGACTGCATGGGTGCTCCCTGGGGCGAAGACATAGACGTGCTCCAGGAAAGGACTGTGCAAAAGTACTGTGTAGGACAGAAGCTTGGGGATTCTGTTGCCTCAGATGGTCAACTGGAGGAGATACCTGGAGTTCATCAGAAGAGGCAAATAATCTATTCCACTCATTCCTCTGTAAGATTTCATAAATGACCTAAAACTAGCTTTCAGTATCACTTCAATGTGTCATCAGATCTATTGGGTCAATGAAAAGATCTTAAAACAAGAGCGAGTGAATGACGGGTCTGTATACAAATTTTAATAATAAAATAGTGGTGAATGGAGTTCCTCACTGAGGTAAGATGATCTCTACGGGGCCCTCCATTTATGAATAAATGTTTATTATAGCCGTATAAGGCACTGCAAGATTTGATCCACTGATTTACTTTACAAAAGTGTTGTATTGATTAAGAGATTAATACGCCATTAAGTATCAAGAATACTAGGATATCATCTGTGTGTGGGAGCATATCAGAAATTATATAAAACTTGAAAATGTATTTCAGCCTACACCGACAAATTCAGACTGTGTAGCGTGCCAGTTTATCTCACTGTACAGAGCATCTTAGTCTAAACACACACACTGAGACCATAATATTACCCTGCTTAAACAAAGTCTTCTTGGAGTAATGAAAAAAAAGACTGATTAAAATACAGATCCTCAAACCTTGTAAAGATCATACTCACGATCAGGGCCATAGCTAGGGTATGTGGGCCCCCTCCACTGAAATCACATTCTGGGGAGGGGTGGCACTCAATTAAAATCTCCAGGGGCCCCCTAGAATCATCACCTCCTCTTTCCCCACTTGCGATGGCCCTGCTCACAATCACTTGCAAACTTAATGATTGTTCATACATCGGCCTACTACATATCTTAGTTTTACCTTTATACTGATGTTTATGACAAACTAGCGCTTTTTATCCGTTAATATTTGCAGCTGGTGCATAAAAGGGAGCAAGTGAAGCTGCAGATCATAGCATAGTGGGGCATTCAGTTTATTAGCAAGCACATAAAACCACTCAACCAAACTTAGACAACAGATTTGCAATACTGCATTTCCCCCACACTAAAATGCACAGAAGAAAAAAATGCTCATCACGCCTCTTCACGGGGTCCTTAATGTAAAGTTTTGGCCACATCAGCCACATTTTCAGCTCAACCGATTCATTGAAAAGATTCGATAAAAAAAAACTCATCGCGAAAGAATATCAACAACTTTATAAACATAGTCAGTGTGTTTTTGTTTAATTTTAAATACAACAAAAATAGTTAGTTATGCAAATGTTGTGAAATAATATTTATAAACGTATATTACAGGACTTTTATATGGAACCTATAGCGGAAATGACGTCAACATCAACATGGCGACGCACACATGCTCCTGTGTGTACATGTAACGCTTTACCGTAACCTTGCAACTGTCATCTGCCGGTTTGCGAAAACTGATTAGTATAATGAATATAATTTGGTCACGTAATTATCAAAAATGTCACGACTGTCTCGATTGAGTTTATCATGAAAGATTAGAATGACTCATCTGACTACTGCGTGCTTATCCGTTAACAGAGGATTGATAGTTTTGTGTTTTGTTAGCTGTTAAAGATAGTTTTATGTCATTTATGAAATCTTACAGAGGATGTGGAACCTAAACTATTTAAAATTAATAGATCAGGGACGTTTGCTGTCTCAAGGACTTTGCAGCAACTACATAACACGTCTTCGTCAATGTGAAGGCAGTCAAACTAGAGGCTTATTTCTATTAAGCAGAAATAAATCTTTTGTAACTCAAATACAATCTGCTTCAAAACCACCCTGGAGAGTATTGTTCTTTGGAAGTGATGATTTTGCATTGGAATCATTGAAACATCTTCATGATTCTCGGTAATATCCAGTTTGTTACTGCATTACTATGTGTGCTATTAAACATGCTGCATTATTCATGTGACTAGTTTGCTTTTCATTTTGTAGAGATGACTCAAAAGCTGGAGTCATAGATTCACTTGAGGTTGTGACGCTGTCCAGAGATGCTCCAGTCAGAAAGTATGCAGAGCAGCACAGACTTCCTCTTCACCACTGGCCAGATGTGGACTTAAGTGCACAGTTTGATGTTGGTGTGGTGGTGTCATTTGGCTGTTTAATCAAAGAGAACATCATCAACAAAATGCCATAGTAAGTAATGAGGATTCGGGGAGAAAGCATGACTATATACAAAGACTGGATTAATACTGTACAATTTGTGTCTGTAGTCATTGTGTGCTTTTTGAAATGTTTTAACCGCATGATCTCAGCTCATTACAGACCATAATTTCTCTGTGTGTGTTTTATTCTTCAGCGGGGTCCTGAATGTGCACCCTAGTCTGTTGCCACGCTGGCGGGGACCTGCTCCAATCTTTCATACGATTCTACATGGTGACAGTGTCACAGGAGTGACTATCATGCAAATAAGACCTAAGAGGTAGGCTAAATGACATGTTATTGTTCATGGCAGCATCAATTTTAAAGTACATAAAAGATTCTAAGTATTTCTGTATATTTATCTTCCAATTATCAAGTCTTTTATTTTATGGCTTTAATTTCATATTTTAGATTTGACATAGGCCCCATTCTTCAGCAAGAGCTGTACGAGGTTCCAAAGAACTGCACTGCTGATGAGCTTGGAGCCACTTTAGCGGTTGAGGGTTCTAGAATGGTAACTGACCCCACCTCTTAAAGGGGTCCTATTATGCTTTTTCACTTTTTCAACTTTAGTTAGTCTGTAATGTTGCTGTTTGAGCATAAAAAAGATCTGCGATGTTACAAAGCTCAAAGTCCACTTCAAAAGAAAAAAAACTCAAGAGTTTGTGAGTGATGGGAAACCTGTTTTGTTCATTATAAACTGGACATGTAGCCTAATTCAAATGCAAGGAGTGACTAATCGTACCCTACGGTTTTACCCATTTACGTCTCTGTTTTACCTTTATACTGATGTTTATGACAAACAAGTGCTTTTTATCCATTTATATTTGCAGCTGATACATAAAAGGGAGCAAGTGAAGTTGCGGATCATAGCGTAGTGGGGCAAACAATTTGTTATTATCAATCACAACTGACCACTCAATCAAGATTTTACAATAAAAAAATAATAATAATAATTTATACATTTCTGATCCAGGCCATAATTCACTAGTTGTAGGGCCTGATATTTTAGCAAAACTGCATTTTCTCTACACTAAAAGCACAGAGAAAAAAATGCTCATCAAGCATAAAGTAAAGTTTTCGCTCCATCAGTCAAAATTCTCAATTCAAGTCTGTCAGCTAAACCAATTTATTGAAAAGATTCGATAAAAAAACACACACACACACACACACACACACACCGCGAAAGAACAACAGAAACTTTATAAATATAGTCAGTGTGAGTGTTTTGTTTCATTTTAATTACACCAAAAACCGTTATTGATGCAAATGTTGTAAAATATTATTTATGAACGTATATGATATGACTTTTATATGAAACCATTAGCGGACATGACGTCAATTTCAACATGGCGACGCACACATGCTCCTGTGTGTACATATAACGCTTTACCGTAACCTTGCAACTGTCAACTGCTGGTTTGCGAAACTGATTAGTATAATGAATATAATTTGGACGCGTAATTGTGAAAAATGTCACTACTGTCTCGACTGAAGTTATCGTGAAATAATAGAATGACTCCTCTGACTACTGCGTGCTTATGTTAATCGAGGAGTGACGGTTTTGTGTTTGCTAGCTGTTAAAGATAGTTTGGGTCTTTCACGAAACCTTACATTAAAGGATGTGGAACCTAAACTATTTAAAATTAATAGATCAGGGACGTTTGCTGTCTCAAGGACTTTGCAGCAACTACATAACACGTCTTCGTCAATGTGAAGGCAGTCAAACTAGAGGCTTATTTCTATTAAGCAGAAATAAATCTTTTGTAACTCAAATACAATCTGCTTCAAAACCACCCTGGAGAGTATTGTTCTTTGGAAGTGATGATTTTGCATTGGAATCATTGAAACGGCTTCATGTTTCTCGGTAATATCCAGTTTGTTACTGCTTTACTATGTGTGCTATTAAACATACTGCATTATTCATGTGACTAGTTTGCTTTTCATTTTGTAGAGATGACTCAAAAGCTGGAGTCATAGATTCACTTGAGGTTGTGACGCTGTCCAGAGATGCTCCAGTCAGAAAGTATGCAGAGCAGCACAGACTTCCTCTTCACCACTGGCCAGATGTGGACTTAAGTGCACAGTTTGATGTTGGTGTGGTGGTGTCATTTGGCTGTTTAATCAAAGAGAACATCATCAACAAAATGCCATAGTAAGTAATGAGGATTCGGGGAGAAAGCATGACTAAATACAAAGACTGGATTAATACTGTACAATTTGTGTCTGTAGTCATTGTGTGCTTTTTGAAATGTTTTAACCGCATGATCTCAGCTCATTACAGACCATAATTTCTCTGTGTGTGTTTTATTCTTCAGCGGGGTCCTGAATGTGCACCCTAGTCTGTTGCCACGCTGGCGGGGACCTGCTCCAATCTTTCATACGATTCTACATGGTGACAGTGTCACAGGAGTGACTATCATGCAAATAAGACCTAAGAGGTAGGCTAAATGACATGTTATTGTTCATGGCAGCATCAATTTTAAAGTACATAAAAGATTCTAAGTATTTCTGTATATTTATCTTCCAATTATCAAGTCTTTTATTTTATGGCTTTAATTTCATATTTTAGATTTGACATAGGCCCCATTCTTCAGCAAGAGCTGTACGAGGTTCCAAAGAACTGCACTGCTGATGAGCTTGGAGCCACTTTAGCGGTTGAGGGTTCTAGAATGGTAACTGACCCCACCTCTTAAAGGGGTCCTATTATGCTTTTTCACTTTTTCAACTTTAGTTAGTCTGTAATGTTGCTGTTTGAGCATAAAAAAGATCTGCGATGTTACAAAGCTCAAAGTCCACTTCAAAAGGAGCTATTTTATTTAACAGAAGTCACTTTTCAAGAACTGCAACGAACGACTCGTTTGGATTACAACGCATATTTTCCAGGATTTGTGATATCACAAATATCGACGAATGGGACGAGACCTGGTTGAGCTGCACTAGAGAAGGCAACGAGTGTTATCATCACTATGTCGGAGACGCTAGCTTTCCCAAGGCAGACGAACTTAGAGTGGTTACAAGCATCCGGGTTTAAATCGCGCTCAAATTGATTTGATTTTGACGCAGTATTTACACTGAAGCTCGCAGACGGCTATGGTAAGGGCATGTCATTTTCCAACCAGGCGCCGAGTGCTGCCAATCACAACACACACTGGCCCAGCTAACCAATCACAGCACATTTCGTATTTCAGAAGGCGGACCTTCATTTGATACAGGAACTATTCGAGCCGTTCATACCAGACTGGGGAGAGAGGTGTTGTAATAATGTAAAATATGTGAAAAATAATGTGTTTTTCAAACAACCTAGCAAGGTTATATTCGTAAATGAATACTGAAACTAAGACTAAAACTATTGGTCAAAAAACATTTTCGTAAACTGAAATAAAATTAAAATTTCAAAATAAATGAAAAACTAAACGAAACTAACAACAGTTACTGAAAAACTAACTAAAATAAAATAATAATTAACAAAGATAAATAATTGTGTTCGTGATAATCATTATGATTATTATGATAATCATAATAATTCTGTGCCAGAAAATTTGACCTGTGGTTGTTTAGGGAAATACCTGTAGATGGCGCTTCATTCACGTGAGCTGAGTCCTAAGCGGCTATTCAGAGAATGCGTTTTTGCATTTAAAAAACAAGACGCGGGCTATGAAATGGGAAATAACTATAAAATATGAAATGGGAAATAATAATAATGCACACCTTTCAGCTCACTGACGTTTAAAAGCATGCTTGACGTGCGAGAACAACATGAGAGTGAGTTAACAGACAGAATTAAAATGTTTGGATAAGTCAAGTCACCTTTATTTATATAGCGCTTTTAACTATACAGATTGGGTCAAAGCAGCTTTACAGTATCAAATAGGAAAATAGTGCGTCAATGCAAAAGGACAACAGTAAACGCTCAATTTTCAATTAAAGGCAACTTTATTCCTTGGTCTTCAAAAATGTCTGATTTTAATTTGGTGACACTCTTATGGAAATATGATAATATTTTGTAATTATTACAAAGTTTGGTAAAAAAAAAAATCCTGAAAACTAAAAATGTATTGGTGATTTAAAAAATCTATTGTTTTTGCCTATGCATGTTCATTCATGTCTTTTTATTTTATTTTTTTAATTGAGTCCCAATTAAATTTTTTTAATTGAGTCCTCTACCGAGGACATAGCATAACTTATGAATGAAATATCATTTAAAAAAAAAAAAAATTTTACTTTTTTTTATGCTCTAAACAATGTAAAGACATGAAAAAAACTTATTTTTTTCCTAAAAATCTTTTCTCGGGTCTTAAGAGGTTAAGTGAATAGTCATTTTGTCACGCTTTGCGATTATTATGGCAACGTCTGCCTCGAGTCCATGACACGAGCACCGCCTTGACTGTACAAAACGAATTTAGCTCCAACCCTGATAAAAACTCAACTGCCTGTAGCTTTCTAGTAACTCTGAAAACCTTGACTAGCTTGTTGTTTGTAAATATTGCCATGTTTAACAAGATTACATCTTTAATATGAATGAATAAGAACATGAATATGAATGAATACATTTTATACATATACGTTTCATATTTTTGGTTTTTGTTCAATTAAAGTTCAAGTAAAGTATTTTTTAATTTTCATTATTAAGAGGTTTGCACAAGAGTTAACTAAACTGTGCAAACATTCAACTTTGCTAAAATTAAATGTCTTGCTTTGGTCTACACTGGAAGTGTTCCATTAACTCTGCTAAACTATAATATTAATTATATAATTATATATTAACTATATAATAATTACTGAAACTAAAACTGAAACTAAAATATATAAAAACTAAATAGAAATGTGTTCACAAAATAAAAACTAAACTAAAACTAACAAAACCATTAATGAAACTAACTAAAACGAAACTGAAATGATAGGAAATTTGAAAACGATATTAAAATAAAAACTAATTTAATGAGAGCATGTTCTAGTACACCCCCAAAACAAAATCAAGACTTTGTGAAAGAGCATAATAGGACCCCTTTAACACATTTTCCATCTGTAATTAAAAAATTCTTGTGTTAATAGTTTGTTGAAATTCTGTGTGAAATATTTTTACGTTATTTAGCCTATGGTGATTCTTTTACATTTATGCATTTAGTAAACACTTTTAAGCAAAGCAACTTTCAAAACACTACTATTCAAAAGTATGAATTTTTTTTTGTGAAGGAAGTAATACTTCTGAGCAGACAAAATAAATTGTTCAAAAGTGACAGTGAAGACATTTATAATGTTATAAAAGATTTGCATTTTAAATAAATGCTATTCTTTTGAACTCTCTATTCATCAAAGAATCCTGAACAAAATGTATCACAGTTCCCACAAAAATATTAAGCAGCACAACTGTCTTTAACACTGAAAATAATAAATGTTTCCGGAAAACCAAAATAGCATATTAGAATAATTTCAGGAGGATTGTGTGACACTGAAGACTGGAGCAATGGTGGCTGCTGAATATTCATCTTTGCCATCACAGGAATGAATTACAAAGAATAAATTATAAATTAG